GTGCACTGTCCTAACCATATACTAAGCCAAGATTTTTGTCTGATCTTTGGTGGGAGTGAGTTTCACAACTGATTACCAAGAAAGGCCTCATTCCCACTAGGATAAGACTGTGAATCAAAATTTCTCTGAACTTCTTTAGAGGGAAATGTGACCTTTGAGAATCGGTCTTCAGCTTATCTGAGGCTTTGAAAAGCAATGATTGGACAAGAGTCCAAATGGCATTACATGCCATGAGAAACCATAGCTTGCTGATATCTTGCACACAGGTCCCATGTCATCAATGGAAAGGCATATGCTGAACAATTCTTTAAGAACAGTCCAAAACTTGTGCCACTGAAGCTTCAGCCTCCAAGAAAGTGGAAAGGGGAAAGTTTCTGAGCCAGCCAAAGATAGTAGAAGGCCTTGCCAACAGTATGGGTAGCTGCGACTTAGCTAGCGCCCAGGATTGTGTTATTTTGACACCCAGCAGACAGATTCCCTCAGCAATCTAGTCTTTCAATTGCTTTTTGCTGCCAACAATCTCTATACTGTTGAACACTGTGGGGAATAACTTTGGTCAAAGAAGTGCCATTGACAGAGTCCCCTTACATAAGGTAGTAACTGGTAGGAAGCGGTGCTGGTGATTGCAGGTGAAATTAATGGGCTGTCAGATCCATTCTCAGAAAAAATGTGCAAAGATCATAAAAATCTCTGTTGCTAGCTGCTGTCTTGTTTGCTGCCTCAGAAGAAGTGCCAAGGACAGAATGGGCATGGAGACCAAACTACCATCTCCTTGTTCTCCAGGCAGTTTCTGCCAGGTCAGGATTGAAGGCATACAGTGGGCAGGGCAAGGTGCAGAGGGGAATTTGCACTGCTGCTGTTTTGACTGGATTTGCTTGGTACAGGAGAGAAGCCAGGTGCAGGACAGCAGTCTGCAGCCCACCCCTTCAGCCCCTTCCACAAAAATATAATTCATTCACTGGAAAGAAAGCACTCAGTGATTTGACTGGTCCAGCTTGCCTATCACTGAGGAGAAGAAATTACTACATATATTCATCATTGGCAGGAAAGGTGTCCCAAGCAATTCCCCTGATCCACCCCTCTGCAGATGGCTGGTCTGGACAAAGTACTGCCTGTCCTGAATTCCTCATTTGTCATTTTCCTTCTATCTTCGATGCATATAGGAGGAGTTCATAGGGAGAACCAAGTAACAGGTGGTAGAGATAATATTACACTGGAAAAGAGCAGAGCTGCCGCTGCCCATGTGTTAGGAGGCTAATGTCTCACATTCATTGTCGTGTGCTAGAATACACTTGGAGCACAGAGAAATGTCACACAGATGTCATACACAACCTGCCAATCCAAGTCCAAGAGTCAGTTCATTGTACCAAACTCCAAATGCCAAAATCAAGGAAGAATTGCAAACACTGCTTATGTTTCAAACTAATCAATTTTTAACTCTTAGCTATTGTATAAATAATTTAAAGCACCATTGAACAAACATGAACGTCTCTCTCTCAGTCACACTAGATCCTAAATGCTATCAGTGATGTCAAGAAACCCCAACCCCGGTGTTTAGATTAGGCTTCTGGTGCACAACAGATCATCTGGTATACTGAATGCTTAATGTAGTAATGGCAGGTTCCTGCCTCAGGTTCTTCAAGCCTAAAACATAAACTCCTCCTATATGCATTGTTATTAATAGTTTGGGGAAGAGGCATTTTCAGGGCTTTGCAGAGTAGTAGAATGGTGCACTTGCATCTTAAAGTTTTCAGAAGTTGTGAGACTCTGGGTGGAAGATAGAAGGAAAATGACAAATGAGGAATTCAGGACAGGCAGTACTTTGTCCAGACCAGCCATCTGCAGAGGGGTGGATCAGGGGAATTGCTTGGGACACCTTTCCTGCCAATGATGAATATATGTAGTAATTTCTTCTCCTCAGTGATAGGCAAGCTGGACCAGTCAAATCACTGAGTGCTTTCTTTCCAGTGAATGAATTATATTTTTGTGGAAGGGGCTGAAGGGGTGGGCTGCAGACTGCTGTCCTGCACCTGGCTTCTCTCCTGTACCAAGCAAATCCAGTCATATATACAAAACCAACTTATTCAATGCCTTGATTTTTAAAGTCTTTGTCACCTGCAACCACCACTTCAGTTCAGAACTTTTGAAGAATCAATCAATCAATCATATCTTCATGTCTCAAAACACCCCTTCAAGTATTTAACTCTACTCACCAAGTTTAAGGTTATCAGTAGTTTGCTTTTGGATAATACTTTTATCCTAAAATGATGCTATGAATTCAACAGTGTAGTAATGGCTTTATCCAACACATCTTTGGACATCAACAGTATATTTGTATAGCTGTCCAGAGCAATCAGGCAGCAAAATGAAAAAAACACCATAGCATATACTGTTACAGAGGTATAAAAATGCAGAGTGGTATAAAAATCTCAGCTGAAATCTAGTTTTCTTCTGTTAGACTGTTTCTTTAAATTGCATTGCCTTATCTGTGAAAAATGTTGGGGGGGGGGGGGGGGGGGGGCAGGGGTGTTGTACTACACACATCTATTGCAATACACCAAACTCAGGAAGTCCCTTGACATGTGTAGCATGTTGCATTACAGGCATGGCTCACATGCTTTGTTTAAGTATAAGACTGCTTTACCAAAATATTTCAGGCATGTTGAATACAAAATTTTGCAACAAAAAGGTTTGGATTTTTCCTCAAAAAAGTCCAAATTTTCTGGAGCAAGAAGGTTTTTTTAACTGCTTTAGTTATATTGCTTTAGAGGTCCTAGCTGAAAGCTTACAACAGGATTAATGTAAGTACTCCTGTGAAACGCAGCACAAATCACCAAAGTGCTCCAATCCTTTCTCATCTAGAATATGGCATCAGGAATGGTGTTTTCATCCCCTACTATTGCCTACACTGAGAAACAAATACAAGACCGAATGATTTACTTAAAGGCAGCTTCCATTCAATCAATGGCTTGACTTGCAGACTGAGCTTATTTGTGACAGCCTGTAGTGTTTCCACCAATAAAACCTGATTTAACTCCAGATGGTATTCAACAATGCAAGGGTACCAAAAAAAGAATCAGAAAGTCAAAATATTAAACCAAGCCCAGAAATATCACTGTCATTATAAGTGTACAGATGCAGAGTCCCAGAGCATCAAGTATATGTTGGACTAAAGGTGTTTCAAATCCTATGTCACATGTCTTTATGCAAGCCAAATTTCAGTGAGTTGATACCCTCTGAACAGCAGACACCTCACGTTGGCCCAGAAAGAGTCCAACTTAATGACATCCCACCACATAAATCCTTCAAAAGCCTAACTTAGGTTGGTCTGACATGATGCGTAGGCCACATTTATCCTTCTAATATTAAAACCCAAACACACACAATCCCCAAACCCAAGCCCACAAGCACACTAACAGTTTTGATAAATAAAATCACAGTTGCACTAGATCACAATTTTATTATGATTTCTCTCCTCTTAAGTCAAGGATTCAAAGTGTTTTATTGTCTCTATTGTAACGTGTCCCTCTAAGCTCTTTCTTTTGGTTCCTGAAACTTCCAAAGCACTTCAGAGTGATACCACACAAGAGCCAGTGCTCTTCACCTTGACATGAAGACTTTACTGGGATCTCTACCCCACAGCAGGAAGCAGCTGTTGCAGCTCCTACTTTTCCAAGGACCATTTCTTAGAAGGTATCCCCTCTTACTCTTTTTCCTTTCTGTTGCCACATCAGACTTCTGTTTCCTTTTCCAGACAGTTCTTAATAAGGCAATCACGACTCAGATTTTGTCAAAGGATACCCTTCTCAGCAAGGTGCTGCTGTCTCTCCCAAGTATTTCTCTTCCACCCAGAACAGGGCTGGCCTTTTACTTTTTGTTTTGACCTTCCCAAGCAGGCTTTGTTGTACTCTGACAGAGGCTGACATGAGGGACCCAGCTCTGTAGCACACAGTCTGTGGGTAGTAAAATTATATGTCTCCAAGAATCACCAATAACTAACACTGTATGCACCAGACACTTGAACAGCAGACATTCTCCAACTTAGTTCTGGAAAGGCTAGGCTTGGGACAGCTGGGAAGTTGCATCTCAAGGCACTTAAGTTAACTCTTCCTTCTCCTGAAAGCACCACTTAAGAGGCTTTCTAGTGCCAGTTTTTATGGAGAGTATGAGAAATGAAAGCTCATTTCTCATCATCTCACTCCTGACCTGGAGTTGAATTATAAGTGGTAAACTCAAGACGAAAGGCTCCAAATCCCATTACACATTCCCTCAGCCATCTAGCATGCAACTGCCCCAAGCTGCTATTATTTTTAATCTTGTAATACCTATGACAATATCAGTCACCAAAACTATTTTGTTTGTACCCTGAAGCACAATGGCACAGTTTTTGCAAATTTCAGCTAACTCAGAAAAATCCAAACTGAGAGAGTAGGCTTTTGCCAGGCTGATTTCTGCCAACTTACCAGAAGTCATTTCAGTAATACATTATCAGCATAATCCAATTTCATTATATGTCTCTCTTATCTTTTGTCTGTCCTTGTGCCTGCAGTAAACATGCATCTGTAAATTATTAGTACTTGGATAACACAAAATGAAGCTAATGAGACAGAAGAGATGGAAAAATGTTGCCTCTGACTGAGAAGTTACTCAAGACTGAGAGAAGTGAACACATAAGAGTACGCAGATAATAATTTCATCTGAATTCTTCTCTTACACAAAGTTTTAAAGGGCCCAAGTCACCATTAGCAAATAAAATCACCAGACACTAGTCAAGAACAACTATACAGATGACATTGTGAATGATACATCTTGCTCCAGGCCAAAATGAGGGCCTTGTGCAGTCAAGGAAAGATCTCCAGTGACAGTCATGACTGTATTAAGTTGCCTGCACAGGGAAAATTTGCTGGGAGGCGGCAGTCTTCTAACAGCTAGCAAGGCCACCGCTTTTAAAGTGAGAACTTCATAGCAAATGGGTACCCTACAAAGCATCCTTTCCTTACCCAGAATTTGACAAGGAAGAAGGCATTAGCTGGCCCCCTTTCAAAGAGCTCCTTCAGGCCCCCTTTTTTCTCAGGGAACTTGTCATAGATCTGCCGGATATCCACTGCCTCGAGGTAGGGGTCGTTGTAGCTGGGGCTTGACTGCCCAATGTGCACAAACAGGTGTTTGTTATACTGCAAGAAGAGCAAAAACATGGAATCAGGAAATCACTCAGTACTGTTCAGCACATATTGAACATTCATGATTCTTCACAGAAGACTACTGGAAGTCATTGAAGATTTGATAGCACTTTCTAAAAGAGCAGAAGTATTAGCAGAAATATCTCTGTTAATACCAGCTTATGCTGTTATTTCTTTCCTATCAGTATCCATGCTTCTTGTGAAACATTATTGTTGTTTTTTTCCCATATTCACTCCTAACCATTGCCTCATGCTGCTGCTATACTCTCTGAAATAACCTGAGATACAGTGTTACCTGTCACAGGTCACTCAGTCAAACATCAATGCTCCTGTCCTATGAAGAGCTGCCTGAAATCCCACAGCAAGGTACCAGCCAAATACTATCATCTTTCCTGAACTTTCCTATCTCAGACAGAGGAAATGTAACTGGCCCATCATCAATGTATGTGTCAAGATGCAGTATCACAAGGTTTAGTGAGACAGGCAAATCTTACTACTTCCATTTTATAGGTGGCACCATGGAAATACATTGATGCAAATTCATCCCAGTTGCCCCCAAATTTAAGTTCCCAGCATACCAGAGAAATACATGGCTTCATGTAATCTTACCATCATCTGACTCTGGGTCTATCCTCCAAGGCTGAACAGGACAGCTAGAATAGCCCGGCAGGGACTGTGCCACTGCCTTATGACCTCAGTGCCTTGAGTTCTGGTATGTGAACAGCCATGACCCTGGAAAGGGAGGCCAGAAGCACATGGCACAAAGCTGGCTATATCACTATAGGCAATTCAATCCTCTAAGACAAGGATATCTTGTGTTTCCCAAAGATGGCTTTCTATTCTCAGTAGAGCAATGAAGCAAGTATTTGCATACACACATAGTAGTATAACATATCCATGATGAACAGGAGCTACCTGAAGACCAAAGATTAATGAGGGGTGGAAGTCAGGTGTGTATCTTACTGTGTCTTGGTCTTGTTGTTGTTCCAAGAATGCAGAGAATTCTAACATCCAAAGTTTAGAGCTAGCAACCCTTCGTCCTTGCCAAGCTGGTGCTGATGGGGAAGGCGAGAGGCCAGCAGGAGACTCAAACCCTAAGCACACAGGATTTATATAAAAAAATTCAGAAAGAGAAAAGTTGGTAGTAGCTTTCCAGTAGAGCACCTGTTGTCAAAGCTGACTAATTACATTTTCTTATGACTTCAGTCATCATGCAAAAATATCACGCACAAGGTCTTCACTCCACCTGTGCTCTAAATGGCTTGTTCAGTTACCCTCTGCTAAAACAGCACTATCAGGGTTGGTAATGACATAAAAGACAATCTGCCTGTTTTTGACACTAGAGAAAACATGTTCAGCAACTTTAAGAGGACCTAGGTTGAGCCCTAAATGAGCAGTGAAATAAACTGCTTCAGTATCAGAATGAAGCATCACCATTAACATGACCATTAACCTCTCAAAATGGGGAAACTGAGAAGTAAAAGACATTTGTTGTTCCACTTAATGAGAAATTGGAAAGACAATCATGTTATGATGGAAAACAGTGTTCTAAGACATGCAGTATAGTGGAAGAACAGTAGAGATATGTAAACTTTTATTTTCTGCTGAGCCACGAGGAAAAGAAACCCCAAAACAACCAATCTAAAACAGGAAAAATGTTTTTTAAAATAAAACAAAATTAAAAAGTTTCAGCTCTCTCAGTAAAAGGACTGGAACTGGTGATAAGGAGAAATTATATAAAAATTAATTTTGGGCTCCCTTAAATATTTCAATAGGTAAAAATATTTTTAAAAAATTAATTTTTAAATTTTTTAAAGTGTTGGCTATTTTTGAAGTTGGAATATAATTTCAAAGCAAGGAACTACATTTCCTTACCTACCTGGTAATGGCAGTGGAGGCTGTACAGCGTAAGGTTGTTGAGAAAAAGGTTTCACGCTACAGAAGTACACAAAGAGAGATGGTTAACAAAAAAACCAAACCAAACCAAACCAACTCTTGACCAACTGTTTGTGCAGATTAGATCAGGTATTTCTCCTGAGGGAGAAAGTGGCATAAGTGTTTTGGGGAAATTATCTTTCTGTGTGGGCAAGAGAGGGTCATGGAGAAAGACTCAAAAAACAGTATGGGGCCAGGACTGGACTGAATAAGATTTCCCTTCAGGTATTCAGCAGGCTTTCCCTGCAGACTTGTTATTCAGAGATCCTTATCAGCCTGTATTAACAGGTGCCCATTTGTTTATCCTTTTCTTTCAACCACAGATAGATTTAAAGAGAGGCTGGATGCCTCTCAGACTTTTAGGCCCAGATTCAGAGATGTTCAACACCCACAAATGAACCTAACTTTCAAGACAGAAAGAAAAATCAGGTTTTAGAGACATCATCTGACATCAGGGGTGGCAGATACTTTGAGTTTCTAGAAGAACCTCTTACATTGATGCTTCCTTGTTCACTTTCAAGCTAAAGGCATAAAATCTACTTTTTATTTCTCCTAGGGTGGCTTCCATTCTTTCACTAGGCATTTTTCCCCACAAGGTATTTTAACAGTATCTGTTCCCTGACCTGCTCCACGAACATTAGCAATAGCACCACAAGAGAGCAGGACCACATGGCTTTTGTGATGACCATACTCTCTTCCAGCTGTTTGTCCTTAAGTTGGCTTAAATTGCTCCTGTTAAGTGTGTCGTGTCCCCTTACAAACAAAGAAGCACAGAAGAACAAAGGCAGGCAGAGCAACCTGAATAATACTCTGACACAACTACACCCAGGGCCATCACTGGTGAAAGATCAGCCCATCAAAGGTTCATCTCCACACTGGGGCAGGGGAGCCCCAGTACCACCACCCACCCCCATAAAAGAAACAGAGCCCCTGCCAGGCTGTCACAGGAGAGCCATCAGCCCCTTTGCCCAGGTGTGAAACCAACCCAGTCAGCCAGCTGGGGAGGCTTACAAACCAGTCACCTTACAAACTGAGAGGGTTATTGCCTAGGTGGTGCAGGACACATTATGGAATGCAAAGGAAAAACATGTTGGGATTGCACAAGATTTATTATGGGGATGTTTAGGGAGAATATGGCAATAAAAGGTGCCAGCCTGTCCTGGTTTCGGTTAGAATAGAGTGAGTTTTCTTCCTAGTAGCAGGCATAGTGCTGTGTTTTGGATTTAGTAGGAGAAGAATGTTGATCACACACTGATGTTTTAGCTGTTGCTAAGTACTGCTTATGCTAGTCAAGGACTTTTCAGCTTCCCATGCTCTGGCCAGGTGCACAAGAAACTGGGAGGGGGCACCAGCCAGAATAGTTGATCCAAACTGACCAAAGGGCTATTCCATACCATATGATGTCATGCTCAGTATATAAGCTGCAGGGAGTTGGCTGGGGAGCAGCAAGCTCGGGAACTGTCTGGGTATCAGTTGGCGGGTGGTGAGCAATTGCATTGTGCATCACTTGCTTTGTATATTATTATTGTTCTTATTATCATTACTGTTTTACTTTATTTCAATTCTTAAACTGTTCTTACCTCAACCCAGGAGTGTTTCTCACTCTTACTCCTCTGATTCTCTCCCCCATCCCATTGGGGTAGGGGGAGTGAGCGGGTGGCTGTGTGGTGCTTAGCTGCTGGCTGGGGCTAAACCACGACACAGCCACATGTAAGATCAGTACAGTAGTCTGTCCACACCCTGCACCTTGTCAGTGCAGTCTGTGCTATTTTCTCACTAAATTCTATTTGTAATTTTTTTCCTGCATGAGGAGCTCTCAGGTCTGTGGGTTTGTTTCTGGAGTGCCAGCAGCAAGTGAGGGTGTGATGACCAGCGATTATCAAGCCAGACTAGCCAGCAAGTAGATGGTTAGGAGCCAGCTGTGTGTGTCTCCAGGGGTAAGGATGCTTTCAGAGGGACCAAGAAGTTCAGGCCAAATGACAGAGAGACTGTGGAGTGTGGAGGTCGACTGAAAGATGAGTTCGTGTGTGTTTTTCTCTGCGGGAGGCAAACCGGGGAAAGTGAAGATCCAGCTACTGGGTGGACTGTGTAACTATGCATCTAAGCCCAGTTACTGAAGAAATTCACACTGTGCATGTGTGCACATGCATGTGTGTTTGTATGTGTGAGTGAGAGGCCTGCACCAGCAACTGGGGTGGGGCTGTGGCCTCAGGGGCTCACCTGCCTGAGTGCTAGCACACAGGGAGACAAGGGATCCCAGGGCAGCTACAGGATGGACCCACAGTGCATGTGTATTTCCCACTAATACACTTTCATCCTCATCAGCCAGAGCGGGGTACAGGATGAGGCTGTTGGTGCTGTTTGTATTCCTGTGAGTGCTGAGCGTTGTCTGTCTGTGCTGTTCTGTGTGGCCAGCCATGTGTGTATGTGGAACGTATATGCATATTTGTGTGTGTGCCTACCAGTAAAACGTGATCAGCCTTGCTACTGGTTGAGCTTGGGAGCATGGAGCTGCAGCAGCGTCACTTCTGTCAGGCTGCTAGATTCAGCAGCTCCCTAAAATAACCCATATTAGGCTGCTTGAGTCATGGGAGACATTAAAGGGGTGTAGTCCATGTTGAAGGTACCATATGAAGACGTAGGGTTTATCTATTTAAAATTCTCTCATGACTCAGTTTGTCTTCAACCATGGGCCTTCAGTCTCAGATCTATGATTAGGGAATTTGCCTGAGAGCAAAGACTACGTCATCTTAGCATTTTATAAATCTTGTAATAGCTAATGGTGCTCCTCAGGCAGCATAGAGGAAGCAGCAGAAGCACCTGTTTTGGATGCTCACATGAAGGAATACTCACTCTTGGGAAGATCCGGCTTGGCCTGGCAAAGCTCCTTGCCAAAACTGCAAGAGAACAACATACAGGCAAAAGTCACCACTCTTAGGACAGAGATGAAAAGCAAGGCTTGCTCCTTTCTGAGGAAAGAAACTGCAAGCTCACAGACTTTTAAAGATGTGACTGAGCTATATCTCTTTCTTTCTACCTTCCTGGTTTCATCTTTGTGGAGGTGCTGACTGGTCTTTGTTGTCTTTCTACACACTACTACTAATGACAAGCAAGCAACTGACCCAACAGTAGTTTTTTTAATGTTAAATACTGTGTATGCACCTTGTGCCTCCATCTCCAAAGCTTTAATGATGCTTACTCTTTTGGAGGGATCATTTTCCCCAGGAGAGCTCCACAGGAATATTCTGGCAGAAATCAATGCTCAGCAAAAGCTCACTAGGCCCAACTCAAAGATTAGGGAATGCTGACAGGCTTCCTCTATTAAGGATTTTATATAAGGGCCATTAACTTGTGATCTAAGTACTCAGGATGAGCTTGGGAATGATAAGCTTGAGAAAGGGTCAGGATGGCCCAAACAGTTTTAATCCAACAAGATCCTAGACTACGAAAGTGAAACAGACACCTAAAAATATTTCAAGCAGCTGAAAACCCAAAGGATCTGATTGTTCTCTCACTTGTATAATTTTAAAAAAAAGCACACAGTGAAACTCTATTGGTTTACATCAGTGTGAATAAAGAATCAGACGCAAACTGTTGAAGGCATGCGATGGATTTGCTCTACAAAGACAATGCCTTTTGGCTCATTCTTTCTGATCTTCTCAGGATTTCCCTAAGCAGGTCCCAA